ATAGTGTTGCCAAACTCCCTAAGCCCTGACCCCCTCCCTATCACACCCACCGCAGCTTTAGAAACTCCAATCCGAAAGAAATGTAATCAATCAAAGGGCACGAGGCTTAGCCCCCAAAGATTTCTTTATCCTTTTAGTTGTTCCTTTTCTGCTTTTTTTTAAGTCAAGAAAAGCTGCTGTTGTTTTGCTTGCTGCAAAACGGATGAAAGACAGAGCTGTAGGAGAGCTTCTTGGAAAGCCCATAGTGGTGAGGAGGTGTCTTGGGCTAAAGAAGAATGCTATCCATCTCCTTTAAGCGTCAGGTTAGAGCAAATAGCCAAGTAGAAAGGGGAGAATCTGGGCATGGAGACCGAGGCTTCTCACTTCCCGCCTGGCACTAAATCTGAGAACCCTAACGTGCTCCAGATAAGGACACGCACTCTCGAGGTCATGAGGGGTAAGGTGGAGGGCAGGGCTGAGACCAGAACCAGATCCTGTTGACCTGCGATCAAGTGCTACCCCTTTCACACCTGCAGCCTGTCCCTTGCCAAGCCTCCAACTTGCTTTCCCATCCTAGGTTGCCCTCAACATCTGTTAGGTCCCCTGGAAGCAGGGCATCTGTTGGCAACATCTGCGGGGATGTCGTTTGGAGAGCTGGTGAGGTGGTCCGGGTGGACGGTGGTTAATGAAGGGAATGAAATGGCCCAGAAAAGGAGAAGAGAGGGATGGGCAGGTGAACTGGAGCCTCCTCCATGATTTGTCCTCTGACCACTCTCCTTTCTCGCTCAAGAGCCTGGGGAGAACAGATTCAGTTTGGGTACTGGGACCCCTGGGTTCTTATCTGGGTGAGAATCCAAGCTGCTTAGGATCTCCTTCCTCCTCTGACCTGAACTGTGCTGGGCTGTTGCTGCAGCAGGAACACCTGTCAGAAATGTCTTCCCTCCCTACCTTTCGCTCTCCTCACCACGTTGTCTCTCCACTCTCCTGGTTTCTCTGGTTCACTCACAATTGCTGGCTGCTGCCTCTCCCCTCAGCTCCCCTGGTCCCTGGCTCATCCCAAGCTCCTCTGTCCGGTGTCTACAGAGCTCCTCCTCATTCTGCCATGCCAACCTGAGCCCTGCCATCTTCCACGATAGTACCCCAGCTCTATCACCAGGGGGCTATTTTTATCTCTGGAGCCACCCCCGCCACTCTGCCCAGCCAGCTGCCAGAACTCGGGCTGCTTGCATAGCTGTGGGAAGCCAGAGGAGTGAGAGGAGCTCCTTGGGAGGTAGAGGTCTGCTCATTCTTGGCTTCTGCAGTCTACCCAGCCTTGGCTTCCACTGCCTTCCTGGCCCCTGTGGAATAAGGAAGCAGGGAGAAGCCATGGACATCTGGAGTGAGGATGGGATGGGGAGACCAGGGCTTTTCCACGAATGGCTCAGGCACCATTTGGAACCTGGATGGGAAAAAAATCAAGGATCTCGGGCCCCACGGTGGACCTGTGGGACTTTGTTCATCGAAGATTCTTAGTGGACACTTGCCGAGATAACCAAATCAAGGATCGGACTAAGCAATACTCTTTTTGTATTTTCACATTATAGTTCTTTTAAAAATCATTTTATTAGGGGCTTGCACAACTTTTATCACAACCCATACATAAATCCATTGTGTCAAGCACATTTGTTGCCATCATTTTCAAAACATTTTCTTTCTGCTTGAGCCCTTGATATCAGCTCATTTCCCCACTCCCTCCCTCATGAACTCTTGGTAATTTATAAATTATTATTTTTTCATGTCTTACACCAACCACTGTCTCCCTTCACCCACTTTTCTGTCGTTCATCCCCCTTAGGGAGGGGGTTATATGTTGATCATTGTGATAGGTTCCCCTTTTCTCCTTGTACCTTCCCCCTACCCTCCTGGTATCACTACGCTCATTACTGGTCCTGAGGGGTTTATCTATCTACTTTATAGTTCTTAAGGTGTTTTCATATGCCAGCTCATTGGATCCTTGGGAGAATTCTGAGAAGCATGGCATTTGTTTTAACCCATTTTACAGATGAAAAACTGGAGGGCAGAAGGATTTGTTCAAATTCAGACAGTGTGGGAAAATCTAGGCAAACGTTTCCTGTTTTTAACAAATCTCATTTTTCTCCCTGTGGGACTTAACTGATTTTCCAGGTTCTTTCACTTTATAAGATTTTGGAGCTTTGGGATTAATCAGTGACTCCTTTCCCTAGCACTCCTCCTCCTCCCTCACCTCTCCTTCGGTCCCCACCTGGACTCCTGCTCTTCAGTGTGGGGCGGGGAACACTGTTGGATGGGCAGAGCATTACCGCAGAGGCACCTTTGTAGATTTAAGCTAAACGTAAGGGCCAGAGCAGACCCAGTGCTGTGACCCGTTGTTGGGGTCATCACATCTAGGATCTGCCTCCCAGCCAGCTAACAGGCTCCTTGACTCGGGCAGAGAGTGTGAGGTGTGGGTACGTGTATATAGGTGGACTTTTCTCTCTCCATGAAGGACAGTGTCTGTTCAATGCTACTTATTAAGAACATTTAATTACCAGTACACTGAGGTGTGTGTGTGTGTGTGTGTGTGTGTGTGTGTGTGTGAGAGAGAGAGAGAGAGAGAGAGAGAGAGAGAGGACATTTGGCCAACTAGTTTTGGTTCTAGTGGGCAAGATAGAGGAATGGCCAAGAGATCTTCTTGTAATCGTCTGGGTATTTTAGAGAAGCAAATCCACAGAAACTCATGTATAAGAGAGAGTTTTATATAAAGGGTAAGTGCACATCAAGAAAACATCCCAACCCAGTGCTG